AAACGACACCGCAAGGAGATGGAAAATCAATTCAAAGCAGGCACGGCAAATTCGTGAAGGGGTCATAGAACTCAAACCCTCTTACCCTTTATACTTGATCTTCAATCCACGGAAAAATGTGCTGTCTGATTGTCTCGAGTAGGTTTTTCGAGGGCGGAACCTTGGATCTCCTGATATGATAGTCTCCGTCGTCCCCTGTGAACCCTGTTGTTGCGAGCACCGCCTTCCTTTCCTCGCCTGTCAGATAGTGGACTGTTATCGGGTCCGTTTTCTAGTTGCCGTGCTTTTGAATTTCGTCGTCGTGAATCCCCATCATGCGGAGAATATTCGCATTAGATGCACGCGGCCCATGTGTGACGCGCGAAATCTCGATTAGCACCTCTTTGTACGCGTGGACCACCCATCGGTGGTACGTGGCACCCGAAACTCGTTTCGTGTTGCCCCTTTTCAGCGACCAGAAAAGGTAGGCCCGGTGCCATTGTTTCGGGTCTCCGAAGTTCAGTTCCGGTGGCGGCAGCTGATAGAAGTCAGGAGCCATGTCGTAGAGCCAGTGCAGCAGAAGGACCATGTTTCCGATGGGGCAGATGTTGTAGTCAATGTGCCGCGTCGAATCGTGGCATTGGAGACCAAATTTATGGTTTGTCTTTCTGCTTCGGCTGTTGATGGTCATCACCAAAGCTTCGCGAACATGATCAAGTGCCGACAATGCACCCATTTCTTCAAAAGACATATCTGGTAGCTGCGCAGCGCGAATGCTACCGACGCGGGACAGGGTGTGATGGCACGTGAGCAGCATTACTTTAGTGAGAAGTGTTCTGTGGAGTTTCGTTGTTGGCTCCGGATCGAAGGGTTTCCAGTTGTTCGCAGCATCCACAGGTAATGTCACTTGCATCATGTGGCAAAAATCGTCCAGAGTATATGTGTCATCCAGTCTTCCGTAGTGACGGTCGATTCATTCCTTGGGTCCGAGCACGAAAAAACAAGAATTTGTGAGTGTTTTGGCGAAAAGTATGTAAAGCGAGGATGAAGGAATGTTTTCAACAATACTCACTCGACGAATCTCTCGAACTGCTTCGTCAACATGAGACGTTGAAGTACCCGGACCTGTGTCACTTCCGTCACAAGGGCCGGGTCGTCGAAAAGTGCAGCCTCCGCCCTGTACAGCGCGTTTAGTACGCGAAGCCGTGACAAAAGCATCGGCATGGTCATCTTAATGCGCTTTCGGATAGGCCTGACAGGGTTTAGGCTCGCGAGCATGTCCGCCTACTCTTGTGCTTCGGTTATGCAGTATGCGACGAAGACCTTCAGCCGCCACCTTGTGATGCGCGGGCCGTGCAACCAGGAGTCTTCTCTCGGCACTTTCTCCCAGTCTTCCCCGTTGTCCATTTTTAATGCGTGCCCCACCTCGTCATGATGCTTTAGAAAGGCCTCCGCGGGAAGCTGTCCGTTTTGCCGCAACCTTCTCATTTCGTGGTACCACCATCTCTTGAATTCTCAGATTACATAATAATATTGCTCCCGAGTTGCCGGCGACAGGGACGCGAAAACGTCCCGTACAAAATCGATCTTCTCCTGCTGTGTCATCCCTGCACGAAGTTTGGTCCAATCCGCGATAAGTCGCCCCCCCTCAACTTCGAGACCCGTGTCTGCTAGCTCGTCCGCTGCCATCTCTGCCCGAACCTCCGCCTCGTCCTCGGGCGAGACATCGTCGTCTGGTCTTCGAAATGCCCGCGGCCTATAACCCTCACCCGCCTCGGGCTCCCCTGATGCAGCAACTTCAGCTTGCTCCTCGTCTGATTCCGGTTCGTCGTCTTCAGACACGTCCGAGGTTTTTGGTGGTTGCTCTGTCGGAATGTTCACACTTGGTTCCGTTGTTGGAACGCCTGCTCGCGGCTCACCCCAATTTTGCCGTGCGTTGACACGCCTTTTCGCACTTGGTGCCGCAGTTGGAACCCCTTCACGCGGCTCAGCCCGATTTTGCCGCGCGTTGACACGCCTTCTCGCACTTGATTCCGCAGTTGGAACCCCTGCACGCGGCTCAGCCTGATTTGGCCGCGCGTTGACACGCCTTCTCCCCCGGGGTTGTTGCGGTGTGACTGTAGTTGGCACAAATCCCGCGTTCACCGATTGTCCCGGCACCTGGGCTTCTGTGCCCTGCGGTCCTCCAGTAGGATTCGGCACTTGGGCTTCCGTGCCCTGCGGTCCTCCAGTAGGATTCGACACTTGGGCTTCTGTGCCACGCGGTGCTCTAGTAGGATTTGGCAGTTGGGCTTCTGTGCCCCGCGGTGCTCCAGTAGGATTCGGCACTTGGGCTTCTGTGCCCCGCGGTGCTCCAGTAGGATTCGGCACTTGGGCTTCTGCGAACTGCGGTGCTCCAGTAGGATTCGGCCCTTGGGCTTCTGTGCTTTGCGGTGCTCCAGTATGATTGATGGTTGCGAACATGCTTGGCGCTCGCGAGCGCGCGTGCGTTGAAGCAAAGCGAGGGGAAAAGGGCATCGGTGCTCGATAATGCATAGGCATTCCGAGGGTGGCAGGGTGGAGGTTTGGGGGAGCTCCAAATAACCTTGGTTGAAACGCATTTGTGGGCAAAAAAGAACCCCACGCGAAAGCTGGCGGAAGTCGAAATCGGCAACTGCCACGTAATGCAGCTTGACCAACTGCTGCAATTGCTGCACTGTCCAGATCCGCAGCGGGCGGTACGAACTCAAGCAATCCTGCTGGTCGGTTCCTAGGAATTCCCGTGGGTGGGTTCCCAGGAGTACCCGCTGGTGGGTTCCCAGGAACACCCGCGGGTGGGTTTCCAACAATTCCAGCGGGTGGGTTCCCAGGAATACCCGCGGGTGGGTTCCACGGAACACCCGCGGCTGGGTTTTGTGGAATTCCCGTGGGTTGGTTCACAGGAATTCTCGCGGATGGGTTCCCAAGACGTCCTGCGGGTTGGTTCCCTGGAGTTCCCGCAGGGGGGTTTCCATGAATTCCAGAGTTCGGGTGCACAGGGTGGATGCCCGCATGTGCTTCCGTGGATACGTTTGGCTGTCGCGGGCGATGCGCGTTTGGTGCACGTGGTTCTCGTGGTGCGCGTGGAGCGCGTGCACCGTGTGCACCCTCCGTCGGAGAGAGCATGGTTGTGTGGATAGTGGTTCCACGCGGAATCAGACTATCAAAACGGTGGAGCAAGGATTACGGATGTGTCAGGTCTCCGGATTTCTGGGAAGAAGGCCGAAGGCGGTGCTCTAAAGCGAGACAACTGAGCACGAACAGCGAAAAGTGAGATGGGAACGGAGAGCTGGCTCCGTTGTTTACCACGAGCCCTCGCGTTCCGTGGGTGACCCCTTGCGCCACGCAACGTCCATGGGTTCCCTGAGTTTTGATCCTTGGGTTCACCGCAAACCCGGTTTTTTGTTACCATACCCGAAACGAGATTCACTGTCGCAAGGAGTCGAAGTGACGAGCGTCGCACTGCTTCGTGACTGCTTCGCGGTCGAGTAATCAGTGGCCACGTGTCTGCCCACGGTGGGGAGTTTTGCACTGTGGCGATGCCACGTGCAGCCATATCGTTTTTTTCTCGTGAACGCAAATCATCAACTGTCACGAATCAGGGCACGAAGTGATGAGCCGGTGAAACACGGACACGTGCACGCGAGAGCCTTCCCCGATGTTTTCCGCATGAGAAATCGAGGGGAAAACGGTCCAATGATCGGTCGCCGAGCGTCTGGTTACTGATACGTTCTCTAGGGTTTATTCCACTCGGTAGCGCCGGGACCACGCTACCGTCGGGCGGCCGAACTCGGTAGTGCTACCGTCCCACCCGCGCTGTTTCCCGCCTGGAAATGCTCCCCTCGCCTGCCCCCAACTACCACCTTGTTATATATACCCCAGCCTGAACCGTGTATTTTGACGTGTGAATGATCAGAGTTAAACCAAGGTTGACTGGGTTTCGCGCTGGGCAAGCATTCGGTTGGCAAGGCTTGGGCTCTAGAGTCCGCTCGAAGGTCGTGTTCGTCGGGCGTTCACGGGTCGTTCATGAGTTCAGCATTTCACATGCAGGCCTTGAGTGACCCGAAAAAAAACTGAACCACTGCGACTGATAAGTCTGGGTTTCAAGTCGGTGTGCGTTTTCCTGTGCTCTTGCTCCTTGTGAAAACGGATCGG